AAATCAAGTCAAATTTATGGTGTTACATTTTGATTTCTCTACTGGGATGTATTTAACTGTAGTGTATTTACATGTACCTTTTCTGACCTTTTGCATGCAGAATTATTTAATGTAAAGGGTTTACAAAAATGAAATCTTCAGGGATCTTTCTCAATGAAACTTTTTGTAAGTCGGTGGTGGTTAGAAACAAAGAGCAGCCAAAAATACATCCTTATGTAATAATATCATGTCTTGTTCCTTCTAGGAAAAATTGAAAAAACATCATGTTTAATATCTGCAGTTAACTATGTCAATACTTAGTGAATAATTAGATTCCCATATTTCACAGACTAGCCTCACCCCCTACCATGCATCCTATCCCCCTGCAATATTCAGTCAGCAAGAAAGCTCAAGTGAAAACAATACTTATCTTTAGACTTACACTTTTGACCAGTCTTAGGGGCAGGCCCCACCCTCCTTAGACGCACCCCGCCTCCTTTCATGAGCACCTGGATCTGCCACTGACTACCACCTTTTACATGTAAGGGAAACTTCAAGAACAGAAGTACTTACCAACAGGGCCATACAGGTGTCCAATAATCCCATTTGGCAGAACTAGAGACTGAAACTTAARAGCATGAACTCTTTTATGACCGTTGTAGACAATTCTCTGGTTATTATCAGCCCTCGCAATAGGCCTAACTGTTCCGTCAACAAAACCAAAGCAGTTCTGCAATGGTGACCCTCTTTGGGAGATAACCCGGGCATAGGTTTGCAAAGCTGGTGGGTTCAACAATGCAGGATTCCAATTGATAATTCGATGATTATGAGCTGTGTAGATGTAATCGAGCAATTCGTTGGTTACCATGCTCAAAACAGGGACAGGACGAGCGAACCGTGGCACCATATCACTGTACCGGCAAGGATAAGCAAAGCGCTTTAGAAGCATACAAAGGGCTTCTGTGCCCTCTGCTTTGCTCCGCTGATTACAGGTAATCCAGTCTGGGATTTGAAGCGAATAATAGCATCGAGGTTTCGACGAACAGCATACGGACACGAATAATAGCATCGAGGTTTCGAATAATAGCATCGAGGTCTCGCATAACAGCATACGGACACGAATAATAGCATCGAGGTTTTGACGAACAGCATCGGCAAAAAGCATAATAAAATTCCAAACTTAATTTTGGCGGTAATCACCCCTCATATTTATCCTCTTTAGATTGTCTTTTGTCTAAAACAATTCAACAAAGTTTTATTTAAGAAGGGTACATTTCGAGTTACGAATAAGCAATCCTGTAAAAATGAGCCTGCGCTCCTCATCGAGCCGTTCCTGGTCGAGAGAATTTTAGACCACACCACCCGAGGAGCACATGGCTTTGCTGACTTTGCTTATCGGAATTGCTTCCATCATCTGGTTTGTAGGCCGGCAGTTAGGTGACGCTGATCGAATGGAAATTTTTGTCAAGGGAATTTCATTGATCAAATGGCCCATGAAAGAATAATTGTGAGTGAGGATATAGCGACGGAATCCGCGGGAGACCTTAAAAAACGAGTGCTCCTCGAAAGTAAAACAAGAAATTTTAAAACACAGGAGAGAAAAAGATTGAAACACAATGTTGTGCTTGGGGCTATTAATTAGATTGTCCAGCTGAAGATTACCATTACTAATTAAAAACTAAACTAACTTTTTCAATACAAGGAACTACAAGAAAATGAATGTGGAGCAGTTTAATTCTTTTGAGAGTAATTAAATAAAAACGGTCGAGTGCGGATCGAGCCAAATTTCGATATTCGAAATTCTGTCATATTCACGGCTTGCCAGCGTAAGTCGAAAATTATCTGTGAATTTTCCTTTGCAATAAAATTATAGTTAGGGCCTTGAACAATTTATTGATGACATGAAAAGCAGATATGTTCTCGTTATAAATATTTTATGAATTTTTTCCCGATAACACCTTGCGGCTATCTATCAATAGCTCTATGGTACCCTAAAACAACTGCCAAAAACGCTTGCTGGTACGCAAAGAAGAACCCAATAACTATATTGCAGATACAGTTTAAGGATAGATGTTCTCAGATATACTTTCAATTTTTTGGGATAATTTTTGGTTCTGCAGTAACCCTTGTTTGAAGTTTGCTTATTTTCGAGATTTGCTGCTGCCGCCATTTTGAAGTTTCAACTAACTTGACCATCAAGAAACAATTGATCGCATGTCGAAAAGTACATTTGAAGTTAAAACATGATAAGCTAACTCAAGATTAGACTTGGTTTCTGTTTCTTATCTAGAAAATTAATTAAATTGGTGGTAGACTCTGGCAGATTTTTGCTTGTTGTCAGTTTGTTTACACAAGATATTTGGTGACTACTGTGCCAAAAACTTGCGTTTTGTCGATACCTTCGGTTTTTGTTGCAAATCTACTTTCTGGGCATTTCAGTTATTATTTTTATCTTTCAGAATGTACAATATACGAAACATCCGGCTTTTCCATGACAAACACTGATCAAATAATAAATAATTTAAACTATGATACGATGAATATTTGAAGTTCATATATTTTGA